AGGTGGTATATTCTTTGCACGTGCCTAAACGATTCCAAATGCACGGAGCAATCTCGCTAATCACTTGATCGAGAAATGTTTTCAACTGAGGTAGTGCCACATGAGAACGTTGGTAGACGGAGCGTGCCCTCATCCTACTCTCTCCTACAATTCCCCATCGTACATCACTCCAGCTATGTTATGCCACCCAGTTTCAGCCGTGAAGAGTCATACTGACATGTGGGCATGGCCTATGATTGCCTTATAATGAAGAGTGACCAACCAGGAGCTGAACTCGCAACCCTAACAGGGATAGTGGCCATTGTGGTCTTTCCTGCCATATAATCTCACCATAAAGAACATAATGACGACACAAGGTAAAGTACAACACATCGGATAATTCTCAAACGTTATTTTAAAAGCATAGTAAACATACAACATATTGTGGAAAGTATGTTTGCGAAGGTAATCAGAGAATTCAGCAGCATTTACACAACTTCCGTCGTCACATCACTTGCACATAACTCGCAGGGAATAGACCAACCTTAAGAACACGAGTTGAGTAAAGAACTAGAGTAAAGTCCTTCAATTCCTTTTTATTTCTGTCAGAATGCATACGTTACTTGAAGACGAGAAAGTAACATGCAAAAAGCACCATCTTTCACTCCTCACAACACTGACTTCAGTAGGGCTTTTAGCGCAATAAGTGAAGAAATGTTACTGTCTAGCAGTATGAGGAAGTGCGAAATCACCGAATTAGCCGAAAACTTGTTTACAGTGTATTCAACCCCCTGCACATGAGCTCCACTCCGCTTTATACGAAAACCCCCACATTGCCGACGCCGCGCCCTGGATCTGTTTCAGCGTGTTCTGTTCCTCGTGTATCTAGGAGAAATGAACGGTGGCGCGATTTGTCCCAAGCGGTTATGTAATTGGTCGCAGCAGATCAAACAACCCCTGGAGACAAGTTGCTAAGGAGAAAAAGCAAAAAAAAACATGCCAGCTGCTCTAGATAGAACCCCATTCCATTCCGATCCCAGTTTGTACGTGCCCAGTTAACTCCATCTCCAACACTACGCCCTCATCCGCACAGCTGATTCCCCGATAAGAACTCTACGACCGTACAAGTGACGATTTTCATGCTTTTTCGTCCTGCAGCTTCGTTTTTCACTGAAAGGCGGGCCTTGAAGGCGGAGTCTGGAGGCGGAGTCACTGGAAAAAGGAGGCGTCACTGAACCTATATTGCGCTATAGCGCCCCTCCCTTACAATTTTTTGCCGCGAAACCGGTACAAGGTTGTTCGTCGCGGACCACACTACCTCCCGACGCCATAATTTCGAATTCTCTATCCTAATCGCGAGCCCTTCCTCTTAATTCCAATACTCTGAACTGGTCCTTTCCTGGAATTTGCGCGCATGCAAATCGTTTTTGCCAGTGTTGGCAGTGATGATATAACATCTTTTGCGCCTACAGTAGGTCGGATTGCTTCGCTCGCGATGTTCAAATCGATAGAAACACTTTCACGATTTTGAGTGGAAGTTGCACGCATGGCTTAGCCACTGGTTGACACAGATTACTTCTCCCCCGATAAATGATATACTCAGAGTTTTAAAGGCAAACCTCTCCGTTCCTCCGTCCAGTACACCAACCCAATGAATCTGCATCACTCAATATCTCAATCGTTTCACCTGAAAAGTAAAGGAAGCTGACATCCTGGAATTAAG